CAGTATGCTTTCTTTGATAAATTAAATAAAAACGATTTACATTTTAACTTAAAGAAAACATTTAATAGCTTATTTATATATAACAAAAGCGTTATAATCTCGCTTGCGAAAAAGTCAATAACAATGTGAGTTAATGTTAATGAAATGTTAAAATGGCAAAAAATTACCGTTTTTGGTTTGTAAGTATAAAACTGATAAAAATATAAGAAAAAAATACATTGCAACATTCTTTGAGGCTGTGTGTAATTGAACTCGTGAATTATGTATTACATTTCTTGAGAGTTTTACTCGTGAATTATGTATCGAATTTCTTAGAACTTTTTTATTGCGGTCAACCACGAATCACTTCCTTCCTCGTACATACATTTCTTGCATCATTGAATCAAGAATTAACGATTTGGGCTTCTTAATTTATATTTATTTATACTTAATATTGTTATTCTAATTCATTTTACTTAATTGTATAATATTTTATTATTAATTTATAGTGAACTAGCCGGTATACCCGTTCTTCACACGGGTGAATCGAAAAATTAAACGATACAGGTTAAAGAATAAAGAAGTTTTTAATGAGTTAATTTTACGTGAATTGCAAATTATAAACAACAAAAATTTGCTCTCAGCTGAACAAAAAAAAAAACCATATTTGTTAAATTTTAAATCTGTAGATCTAATAGCTGATAAAAAGGATATTTTTCTTTTTATTTATAACATCCCGTAACTCTCTTGGAGGTCGATTTTTGAAAATACCTTCCTAAGCTGATCTCTGTTCAGCAAAAGTAACACATTGTTACAAATTTTGTGTAATGAATGCTGAAAATAGTGTAAATAACTTATATCTGGATGTGTAATAAGTTAATATTACTTTTTGTTGTATTTATTTTATTTTAAAATTGTGTTATATTCACAAGCAACGCCGTTCCTTACATTATAATGGCAATTCAATTTAGACATAGCGAAATGGTGGCGATAGAGCCAAGTTGGCATAAATTTTGGTGACCACGTTGGTAGCTTGGCGATTAATTGAATGGTGCAAAAATTGACATGCTATAGCGCCACCTGGTGGGGAGCTTTAACAAAGTGGGTAGTTCAAAAACCATTTCCACAAAAAAATACAAATACATGCCAATTTTCAAAGTGTTCGGTTGAAAGGTGTTGAAGTGATGCGATTTTATATACAAACATTTATTTTTATACATAGAGATATTGTTATTTAATTAATTTTACATAACTAATATTTTATTATTAAGTTATAGTGAATTAATATTTTATTAGTAATTTATACTTAAATTATACTTATTACTTTTTATTTATGGCTCTTAAATTTCTCTCTCAATCTCCGAGATTGAGTTTAATATATTTATCAGGGCCGCTTTTCCACTTAGGCATGCTAGGATGCTAGGCAAGTGCCTAGGGTGCAAGAGATTTGGGGGTGCTAAAAATTGGAGGACCAAAAAAAGTTACAATTACAGCGAACTTACCACAGCCTTGCACCGATTTAAATGAGATCAACTATGGGAAAAGAAAAATGTAACAGTTTGATGTTTTTATGAACTCAAAAAGGAATATCACAATGGAAATCGATTACAATGATGTCGTTAATGATTTTGCAATGATTAATTTAAAACTCAAACTCAGTGGTGCAACAACCCGAGAGGACCAAAACCTACTGTGCTCATCCCAGTATACGAGACCAATGAGCGTTGAGGTGCATGAGCAGATGTCCCGATCAGGGGGTCAGAGTTTGAAGTGATACTTTCAGTCTTTAAGTCCCCAATCAAGCTTGATACTCATGTTATCGACCCACTGCGGGAGGGATGAAAGGGGGAATCGACCTAGCCCAGCCCGACGATAGAGCCTCGAACTTGTGGAGCAAAAGCGCGAAACGCTACCACTCGGCCACTGGGTCTTAAAAGTTGATTGCGTGATTCAAACCCTTTCCGCCAGCGTAGAAAGCAGGCATACTACCAAATTTGCCGCTGAATCGCTTTGCAATGATTAAAAAAAGCTCGAAGAAAAACTCTGTTGTACCAATGGCAGTGACTCAATAAAAAATAAAGATGCCTAAAAGTAAAAAATAGTAAAGCGATGAACGATGAAAGATGATAATTAACAAGTTAATAAACAGTTCACACACACACACATGCAATAACGTATGTTCTCTATACTGTAAATGCTCTGTTCATTTATTTATTGTGCTAATTTAGAAAGGGAGGAGGGATCCGTGATGCCGTGAGGTAAGAAATTGGACAAGAGTTGCCTAACCATGCCACTGTCCTTTCCTTACGGCTGCCGGTTGCCAGGAAAACGTCGAGTCTCTTGGTGGTGGATAATGGGAAGACTCTTCAAAGAAGAAAAACAAAGAAAGGGGGAAAATAACAAAGTTAAAAGAAAATCGCTACCAAACCAAAATTCGACAAAGTAAGATATGAAGGAAATAGTGGAGGGGGAAGAAACAATATGAAGTGCCTAGGGCACCGGAGAGGTTAAAAGCGACCCTGATACTTATGGAGGAATGTAATATTTTTTTCATCTTTGTTGAGAAATGGGTAGGCAGTTTATACCAGCGGTCGCCAAACTTTTTGACCTCACGGACCACTAATAGGATTTTGTGAATGTTAAATATATTTATAAGAAAAAATTGTTACCTAAGAACGCAATCAATGCATCTTGAAACATAACTTAACGTGATGAGTGAGTATATTCCACATTTTTCTGGGGAACAACGAAATTTTCTCGCGGACCACCACTTTGGCGACCTCTGGTTTATAACGTGGTGAAAACTAGAATGTGTAGATGAGATTAAGAGATCAATTGCATAGCGCTGAAATTGATTTTTCATATATGTTTTTGCAACTCATAGTACACAAACACGTTAATTTAGAAAAAAATATAGACAAAAAGAAAGAATATTGTCAGGGACACCCTTCCACGATGCGAAGGTTTCACATACAGCTTCAAGAATCGTGTGTTATTCAAGGTCTTGAGAATCGCAAGAACAAAAGCGCCATTTTACGAGAGATACAGATATTCCTTCAGTAATATACCAATTATTTAAAGGTATATTGTGGGATTAAATACAAACTAAAATTAATTTGTCAAGCACTTCCTTTTCTTAAAATCTTGAACTGAAACCTAAAACTGTCACTACATATTTTGAAGACATTACTTATGGGTCATTGAGAAAATACTAATATACTATCTTTTGATATTTTCTAGTTGTAGTGGTGTGGAAGTTTGGAGAGTGGAATTTCAGCCCTGGTTTTGTCCTCGTCATATGACCTTTGCTCAATATTACGAGATTCGTCTCCAATAACTCTCGTGTTACTTCGAAGTGCTACGTCAATCAATTCATCGATTCAAATTTTTTAGACTTAGTGAACGTTTTAAAGTTATTAAAATTACTATTTGGCAGTTCCTCTTTGGTTTTCACTAACCGTTACGTTTTTTATGTTTTACAAAATTCTATTTATTTAAATCTGATTTTAGGCACTCAAAAGAGATTTGATACTCAAACAGTATTTATAAATCTCAAATAAATAAATCGTTATCCTTATTACGGTGCTATATTCAAATTTAAAATACCGTGCGTGTGAATGTAGCTTAATACATGTGTTTACATCTAGAAAGATGTGAACTTATGTTGTTTTCGGCAAAAGTACGAGAGAGAGCCTAAACTAAACGCGGAGCACGTTTTCAGACGGAAAAATGCTTCACTTTTCATGAAAATTTGCAACATTATAACTTATACATCGGCTAACAATATATCGTTTCTAAAATTTCAAAATATTCCTTGAATATTATTTTTTCATTTTAACACGTGAAAGAACAGCTCATTTAACATTATGGTATTGGAGAAAAAACGCGAAACAAATTTTATACCAGAAAAAATGGCTCAGCTTGGACAAAAAAAAAAGAGAAGAATAAAATATGTTGTTCTCTAAGGCAGTGATCCGCAACCCCCGGTCCGTGGATCAAATGGTGCCGGGCCTCCTAAAGAACATTAAATTATTGCCATTTTATTTAAAGTGGTGCATTTCTCTCGGATTTGCGTAACTTTACACGGAAATCACTTTTATTCATTTTTGGTGTAACTATATTTTATTCTGCAGGCATATTTAAATGTAATTAAATTAAAATTGTTAAATCAAAACAATTTAAAATATAAACAATCAGCGTGGCCCACCCACAGCGGGCCGCGGTAAAATTATCAAACGTTGACCGGTCCGCAGCGATAGAAAGGTTGCGCAGCACTATTCTAAGGGATATAAAGCCAGAATATAATACTAATTTTTCTTTTCTTTTATATTTGAAAAAATATACCTAATTCGGTCCTATTCTTTAACATTAACTGAAGACAGCCTTAATGCAGGAAAACGTTTTAAAAGGAAACCACACTAATAATTATTTCACTTTGGATATATCAAAAAAAAAAGCTAGAGAATTAAATCAGAGAGTATACACGTAATAACCATTGCAGGCTAGCTTATAGTTGCTTTTATCGTTTCATAATCGAAGTTTGCTTTTATCTGCAGTGACTCAGTTTTCAATAATTATCGGAAAGGCGTTAATGTAATTAGTTAATAAACTTTGAAATGAAGAATGGTAATATACAGAATTTCTAAAAGCTAATATATTAGTAACTAAGTAAAGTGAATTTACACAAAAAATCTGTCTAATCATAATCAATACATAACTTAGAACACAAATTAGTATGATGAGGTTAATAATTTGATCATTCCATGGCTCACATCACTCAATTTCTCGCATTAAAAATAAAGTCTGTTTTTCAATTCCTACTGTTAGTTCAATCTCTCCCTATATATATATTTATATATGTATCTTGTTCAAATATATTTTTTAAACTTGTAGTGGGTGACACTTGATGTTAATACCGTTTTTTCAAATAACAATTCCTTAATTAAATTGAAAAATGAATAAATAGTAACAAACAAAAACAGTAGTACAACAGCATATATAGAAAAGAACATCATTCGTTAGTCCCTGTAGCGCAATGGATATCGTGTTGAATTTCTAATCCAAGAATCATGGGTTCGAATCCCACCTGGGATGGCCTAATTTCTGAGGATGTGATTTCTTTTTTACTATCCTATTTTATTAGAATAATTAAATATTATTAATGAATAGCAGTAATAAAAAAAACAAAAATAATAGTCCAACATCTTATATAGAAAGGAAAATCGCTTTCTATTTTGCCTCTTAACATTGTAATTTTGTCATATGTATATACATGTTTATATTCTAATTGTAACTACTTAATAAAAAGTTACTAAAATGAAATTTTCTTTGTTGACCTAAGTGAGAAGGGACTTAATCTTTTTTTATATTACTTGTTCTTAATATGTTTCTAAATTACTCTCTTGTTAAAGCATTTTTATCAATTTTCTCAATGGCTAAATATGAGTGTATTTTATTCAGGAAGAATTTTTAAAAAGCGAATTTCAAGAAAATATGTATATTTTTTAAAAATTTTGACAAAAACGCTGTGATAGAAAAATATATGTATCATTTTTCAATTAGTTGAAAAAATTTAATTTGGGTCATTATTTTACCACAACTATGAGAAAAATGAAAAATTTTGTTAATATCATTAAAATTAATTTCTAATTGCCTTTTTTTATGCTAAATGCTTCGTGAATATCAAAAACTCTTTTAAGGCTCACTGTTCCAGAAATAATATCTTTTTCACGACTATTGTTTCTATTTGGTTCTAATTTAATAGAGATAACTGCTAAAAATCACACAAATAATTAGAAATTTCAAAAAAGAAAATAGAGCTAACAAATAATTAAACAGGCGAAACGAAATAAAAAAATGTACATGTTTTACCCATTATAGTACAGATGAATTAGCGAGCGAATTTTTTATTCGGCTTTTTTCAACCTGAAGAGTTAAATGCTTTATAGACATTAAATACAAAGTTAACAAATGCTGTACCATTATGAGTAAATCCAATTTCACGACTATTTTAATAGTTTATCTTTCCTTCAATTTTGTTTCAAAACAGTTACAAAATGTGCTGATGTTGAAATAATTTACATTTTTTACTGAACAAACAGAACAATAAGTTAAAATAGTTAATGAAAGCTTAATAATTACTTAGCTTAGAATTTTAAAAACTATGCTAAACACTCTGTCCTTTAAAATATATATAATCCTGCGATTCAAATAGATTTTACTCACGTATACTTTTTAGCCGACATTTACCCTTTACTAGTACACTTCAACAGCCGTTTTTTTTCTTTTTTGTTCTCTGATCATCAACAAAGATTTATTATGAAGACAGAAAAGAAATAAAAGTACACATAATATATATTTCTCGTTTTTTTTACAATAGTAATTATTTTTTAATCTTCTCTAATAATAATTTTAAACAGTAATTAAATCCCTTTTTTGTGTACCAAGCTCTTTGACTTAGAGTTCATGTGAAATCAGAGAGGAAAAAACATATCACGTATCAGTGGCGCACACAAGGGGGCATCTTAGGGGTCCGGACACCCCCATAGCCCTTGATTTTTATTTTCGATTAGTTATAATCCTATGCTTACACTACGTAAAATTGAATTATTTATTCGTTATTGATAATTAATTTTATTAATTAATGCTAATTATTTATTCAATAATTAATTTTGTATTGTTTTTGTTCCCGAAAATCAACAAAATCAAAAGAATATGTTAGGTAGCTCATTGGAACATACCAAAATAATGCACTTCGACCCTGAACTCCCCCCTTGAAAATTTTTGTATGAGCTACTGTCACATATGTATTTTCCCTTCTTTTTACTTGTCATATATTCTGGCATATAACGCTCACTTTTAACATACATAAAATAAGATCGAAATTTACGGGTACTTGTTGTACGTCGGATATAAAAATGATAGCTTTAAAAATTGAGAGAAGATGCGTGTGTTAAACAAAATAAGATTTCTACATATATGTAAATACTATGTATTTAAAGAAAATGGCATAACATTCATTTTTGGAAAACATGAAATTTTTTTCATATTTAACTTCAAGCTAGGGTTTGCAGTCCCGGGATCCCGAAATCCCAGGATCCTAGCGTTTCTTCAAATCCTGAAATCCGGGGTTTAAAATAACTAATCTCGGGATTTAATTTTTGTCTGAACAATATTTAAAAAAAAATTCTCATCAAAATTTTCTAAGAATTTTATTCTAAGAAAATTAAAAATCTTGGGGGTGATTTTAATTGGAGATGGTAAAATAATGTTTAGAAATTCAACTGGATCTTCTATTTGAAATACGGTAACACTTGAAATTGATTCACATTTTGATTCAATAACTGAATCAGTTTGTACTCAAAAACCATTAAAATTAGTAGAATAATTACATAAAGTTATGTAAGAGGGATATGCATTAATGAAATCTATTAGATTTGAGACACTGTCATCAAAAATCCAAAAGGAAATGTATCTTTTATGAAAATGTAGGAAGACGTGATGATCACCTGGTAAGAACATGCTCTTATTTAATGACGATTACGCCAACTGGTGCAGAGTCAGAACGAGTCTTTTCTTTGGCAGGATAATTCGCAACAAAACGAAGAAGTTTGAACGTTGAAACGCTGAAATAGCTGTGTTTCTTAAAAACTTATTAACATTATCACAAGAAATGAGGAAATGTTTTTTTAAATTCATTATGTGCTATTTTTTATCTGTTTTTTTACAATGAATTAATTTTTGTTTTGATTTGTTTCAATAAATAATAATACTAAACCAATTTTTTAATTATGTTTTCAGTTTTATTATGGTATTACAACTATGCTGATGTGCAAGTATTTTTCATAAACAGTCTAATATGTTATCCAATCCCGGGATGTGGATAACGTAATCCCGGGATTGTAAATACAACATGGGATTGCAAACCCTACTTCAGGCACATCGTCGAATTCTGTTTCATTATCACCATCACTGTTACTCCGATCAATAAACAGGTAATCCTTTTCATTTCATCTAGATTTCTAGATACATTACATTTTTAAATGGCTTTTGAGTTATGTAAGGTTTAATTTCATTCCATGCTTCCATTATCCCCGCACTCACTAATTCTAGACAGGTATGACACATTTTGCCTCCTTTCATAAAAGTTTTTTCCCCTTCTAATATCCACATACTTTCTAACACCTTTTTCTTGTTCATTAGAACTTTATTCTAGAAGCATACCATTTTTCAAAAGCCGGGGGTAATACTTCCAATAAATGACTTCAAAAAATTAAAGCTCTGCACATTTGATGCTCATTTCAGATTTCTTTGTAAGAAACAAAAGGGTGCGCGTTATACGGTGAATTTAATTAAAAATTTTGAAAGTTAAAAAAAATGCAATTTTTGAAAGTATGCATACGTGTAATATCCCAAAATATACGGTAGTTAGAAATGTTTTGCCACCTACCTATCCGGTATAGGGGTTAGTGACACTGATTGCTGTGTGGTAGGGCCTGGGTTCGATACCGGATAAGGCATGGGTGTTTGTAAATGTATGGTGCCTTCACGGCATGGGAGTACTCTAAATAGCCGTCGAGCCGCAAGTCTTGTGTAGTTGGCGAAAGCGGAAGAGAGGTGCGAAGCTTCAGACTCCCCTCCCAGGTGTTCTCCCTCAAAATTGGGGTTTGAGCTAAAAAAATCGTACTGTCACTTGTATGGTACTCAAAGCTACGACTAATGACAGGTATACAAACTAGCCCTTAGCATGATGAATTTTGTGGGCTTCGATATACCGTTGTCGATCAGGTGGTATTAGCCACAACGGAACTGCATAATTACTAATCTTCATGTTCTTTTTCTCACAATGATATACTTAGAATCACAATTTTTTATATAATAGGAAATTTAAAAGTAAGATTACATTATCTTCATTATTGTGCTTTTTATACATCCAATTCCCACTTATTTAGTATTAATCCTTTAATTATCTTAAGGATTTATTAATATATATATTTTTTTCAATTTGTGTGAACCAAGACTTTTCTCTACATGAAGCACATTTTCCGCTACAAAGATAAAATTTTGAATTGCAAGTAATTAAAAAATTTATATAGAAATGTTGCAAAAGAATTTTTTGAAACATTTGACGTCGAGAACATTAATGATTATTCAAAGTAAATACCGTCCCTAACATGATTCTCAACATAGCAAGGAAATCATTTCCCACCTCTTAAATCACCCCATGCGAGGATGGACGAAAATAAATACCTTCAATTAAACTGATCAGCCTTCAAGGGTTAATACAATCACCCATGCCAGCATTTGGCCCCAGGGACCATTCCTTGCTTCACCCATCTGGCCGACGGAGAGGGTTAGAGGTCAGATTTGTGCAGGGGCACGTACCGAACGTAGCTCCAGGGAAAGGCAGAGTTCAGTTGATAAATGAAATTGTCGAATGCATCCTTAATGCTGACATAAATGTCGTCATATCTTTTCCTGACCTGGAAATGAACGTTGGGTCCTTTCACATCAATAACGTGTAAGCACACAATCATTGTCTAAACCTTATTAACTGTATTTTACTCCTGAGACTTAACAGAGCTGTAATTGAAGCCCACATTTGCTAGATTTATCCGCATTGTTAATATTATGTGTAATAAAATGCAATTTTAACCCTTTAACGGGCACACAGCTAAAATGCAATTTTTTGTATAAGTACTTGATAAATGTAATGTTCTCATCATCTATAAACATTATTTAGTCACAAAAATAATCTAATCGTGGGTTTTTTTCCCTGGGTGGTGGCTAGACGTTATAGCCACTGCGCATTCAGGGCAATTAACTTACTTTTCAGGACAGAAATAATGAATCATATTACAATAAACTTTTTATGAAAAATTAACATTTATGTAATAACTATTTCAAAAACAATTAAATACGAAGTATAAGTGTAATTTAATAATAATAGAATAATTGTACAACATAGAATATCTATATATCTATCTATCTATATATATATATGTTTATATATATATACTTACTTTGAGTTGCGCACACAGGAATTTTTCAAAGGGGGAGGGTCCGGGGTCGAAAGTTCACCATTCTTGTATCAT